GGGTATTTGCATGTAAGTGAATATAACAAATCCAACTAGAATTGAAACTGCTCTCCAATCTCCTATTCCAAACCGTTATCCAATAACACCACTCACATATCCAAGCTGACAGCAACTAGTATTTCTATGTGGTCACCCAGCAAGGTAATGACTAGGCTTGATGTTGCTTAACTTTGGTGATATGATGAGAACTAATGTTTCTATGAGATATGGCCATTGATTACCAATATAAGTAACTCATACCTACCAATGAGTGAAATAATAGTAATAATTATTATGATGAAATAAGAAAATGTATCTTTAGTGATGTTGCTGTTCCTGGTGACCATAATATTATCGTCAAAGAAACTGCCAAGCTCAAGAAATATGCACTGAAGTTGCCAGAATGTTGAATGTTCAAGCCACTATTGTACCAGTTATCATCGCGTCTTGGGTATGATAATAAACTACATCTACGATATCCAGACAAACTAAATCTGACTGCAAGGCCTCTGATCAAGAGGTTTTGAGGAGTGTAGAACCACCTCTTAATTGCTGGTGTTCCCAGGTCCCGGCTATGCACAGATAGTTAACACCTAAAATGGGGTCAAAACCTGTAAACATAGTTTTTAATACCAGCAATACAAAAAAAAAAAAAAAAAAAAAAAAAAAAAAAAAAAAAAAAATTATTACCAGTAATAAATTTTTGAAGAAAAAATTAGTTACCAGCAATAAATTTTTGAAGAAAAAATTAGTTACCAGCAATAAATTTTTGAAGAAAAAATTAGTTACCAGAAATTCATTTTTGAAGAAAAAATTAATTACCAGAAATCCATTTTTGAAGAAAAAATTAGTTACCAGAAATCCATTTTTGGAAAAAAAATTAATTGCCAGAAATCCATTTTTGGGAAAAATATTGCCAGCAATGAAAATTTTGTCGGCATTGAGGTTGATATATCGTAAAACAAACCAAACCAATTAACATCAGGACATTTAATGTTAGAGGACTTCTGAAAAAGAAAAACAGAAATTATTGGTTCGGGATATTGATAATTATAACCATTGATGTATGTTGTCCCCAAGAAATCAGAACCAAAGGATTTGATATTAATATTAGAATTAGATAGCACAAGTTAACATTTATCACTCTGCATCATTTATAAGTATGACTTCCTCTTTTACTGTATATGGAATCCCCACAAAATATAGGGTTTTATATATCAATTTTATTTTAATATACTTATTGTTTATATGTATTTTTATTGATACAAATATTTAAATAAATGCTCTGTTTATAATAAACAGTATTAACATTTACCGGCCTGAATGTCTGAGAAATTTCACAGAAAACATGTGTCATATAGCCCGACGTGCTATACCATTTAGCTACAGAGGAAGTGTCTGGTTAGCAAGGTATGATACAGGTTTGAGTCGGAGGGCACATGTCTTCCATGAAATTTCTTGGACATTCAGGCTGGTAAATGATGTTAATACTGTTTATTATAAACAGAGAATTTACTTAAATATTTGTATCTATAAAAATAATGTATAAACAATAAATATATTAAAATAATTGTCGGACTTAGTCCATTTCAGAATATCTTAATTCTATATACAGACAAAATTCTCACCAATGGACTAATAGGGTAGCGGGGTGGAGGTCCGTTAAAGCCGATTGTCTGTAGATGGGAAGGGATAATTTTTGAGTTTTAAAATCACTATAGTAACTACCAGTAGTTATGATCATAATGTAAATACTGGAAACATGTGTGTATATATATATATATATATATATATATATATATATATGATCATAATGTAAATACTGGAAATATGTATATACAGCTTGTTCTGCTATGCCCGCAAATTTTGAAATGCATCGCTGACGTTTTGGAACTTTTTTTTCCTGCAGATTTTGTCCATAGCAACGAAGAGGGGGGGCATAGATGAGAGGTTTGTCTGTATTTGAATTTGCAGTAGCCTGGTTCTCAATTTCAGTTAATATTGTTTTAGGTGTTGCCCTAGAAGGATATGACTACACAACCAAGAAATTCAACAACTTGATTTGACAGGATTAACATTTTGCTTGGCGAAAATAGTCACCTACAGAGTGCTAAAGGTTACAGTAAATTTAACATCAGGAAGAGGCAGTTGAAATTTCTGGGGTGCGTAATGAGGAAAGAGAGCTCGGAAAATCTGATATTCACAGGACAGATTGAGGGAAGAGGGACTAAGGAAAACAGAGTTTAACAGACTTGATGGGATGGATGGATGGTAGGACAGGGTTTGGGAGAAATAGCAAAAAGACAAAACTTAAGAGCTACAAGGGACAGGAAGATGTGGAGGGCTATGATCGCCTATGTCCTGACATACTCATTTATTTAGAATAGTGGATTAACAGAAATACCCCCCCACATTGGCCATATATTAATTTTAGGCTCAATCTGACAACTGGTAATACAAATATCACCTCACCCACACAGATTGACCTTTGACTTGTATTGACTGATGAGACACCACCCCCTTAGGTGCCATACTTGATGCTCGCTTGGCTCATCATGTTTCTTTTAGATTCATGACAGATTTGGCAGAAGAATTCCCACAGTAAGATGTTGTTACTTTCCGTGATAGACTGGTTGCCAACCAAGGCTTTAGGACTCAGTCTGCCTGACTATAGCAGTGTGGAGAAGAGACAGATTCATCCCTCGATCCTAAAGAGAATTTGTGTGTAAAAGTGAAAGTAGTAAACTCAAATGGAATAAATATACATTTTCTAAAAAAATGTTCTGAAAATTAGATTTGGCATTTTTTTTTTTTTTTTGACAGTTAAATCGGATAAAGATTAAAGTAACTAATTTCTATAAATCTGTCTTGATACGATTTTTTTTGACAGATTTTTTTTTTTATTTGTTTCCAATATCGGGTTTTCTGTCAATCAGACAATGGCCATTGTTGATTTATTACCAGTTACTGAAAAACTGACATTGCAAATGTTTAATTCAACTTTGATTAACTTTTTTTTTTTTCTTATCAGTCTATATTTCTGAGATGTGATATTGTAACTATTTACATTGTTTGAACTGTTGTCCTCACCTTTATTGCCACATTCCCATCCTGGGAACGACGATAAACTACATCTGCATCCTGGGGAAGACAATAAACTACGTCCAACAGCAAGGCCTCTGATCCAGGAGGTTTTGAAGAGCGTAGAACCACCTCTTAATTGCTGATGTTCCCAGGTCCACCCTGATCCCCTTACAGATATAAAAATAGAAGCATACTACTTCTTGAGGCTCACAACAATATTGGAGGCCATGCATACACACACAAACAATGGAAGGTACAGCAGCCACTGACTAAGGTCTTGTCCATGTAATGGAAGGGATTAACCAGCTGTTAGGGTTCCAACTATAGGCAAAAAGTTGGCCCCCTAACTGGGGTGAAAAACACTAAAAATGAAAAATTGGTTTTAATACCAGAAATATTTTGCAAAAAAAAAAAAAAAAAAAAAACAGAAATTCATTTAAAAAAAAATATTATCAGCAATAAAAATTGTCAGCATTGAATAACCCATTGAGGTTGATATGCTGTAAAACAAACAAAACCAAACCAATTATTGCCACATTCATGAGGTTTCGGCCATTGTATGTTCTGGTATTCATCAGGATTTGTTTGTATTTCCGAGATTAGCTATTGTAAGTATTTACACTATTTACACCATTCGAATTGTTCTCATCTTTATTGCCATACTCACGACGTTTCAGCCATTGTACACTGACCTTCTTCAAGTGATACACATTGGAATTTCAAACCAAACCCTTTATTTCATCCACTGGGGTAGATTGTTCTAGTTCCACATGCCATGCCTTTTCTGGATATCTCAGTTTCAGTTAATTTCCTTTAATAACTCAACTCTACAAGATTTTGTTCACCTCTGCTGTGGCCAGGTATTGAACTCAAAACTATTTGGATCAAGTCACTTATTGGATGATTCATTAAAATACATTTATCCATTGGGCTATGTGTCTCCCTTTTGTTTTTGTTTTTTGTTTTTTTTTTGTTTTTTTTAAAAAGCCACAAATTTGTGCTTTTATGTTTGTCATGAAAGTAAGAAAAATCCCAAGAATTCATTTTTAAAATTAATATTTTTCGACAACGAATTAAGATTTTTGCTGCTGACATAAAATCATCACAACACTTCTAATGCATCTTTGCCTGATGATATTAGAAGTTTTCCAAATCGTCTTAATTATCTGGCTATTAAATATAGAAAAAAAAAAGGACATTGAATACTTGTTGGGGTCTCTCTACCCAGGTTTTAGTTACTATCTGAGCATTAGGATTCCAAACATTTAACAACAACACATCTTTTAAATGAAACATAAAAAGTTATTTTCTTGAGGAAAAGTAAAAGCAGAACATCAGTTAAAATAACATTTAGATATTCTTTTCAGAAATATGCAATAACAATAAAATGTTCAATTTACCTTGCAGTGAAATTGGTTTTATAAAGTAATTGTTCTTAGTACAATGTGAAATGTATGGTCAAACTTACTTTATGACCATCAGCCTAATGTGTTTGTGAATTTGTGGACAAAGGCTAAGTAGACAGCTGGTTAATCCCTTCCATTGTGTACATGGACAAGATCTCAGTCAGTGGCTGCTGTACCTTCCATTGTGTGTGTGTGTGTGTGTGTGTGTGTGTGTGTGTGTGAGTGAGTGTGTGTATGCATGGCCTCCAATATTGTTGTGAGCCTCAAGAAGTAGTATGCTTCTATCTTTATATCTGTAAGGGGATTCAAAATCTATTTTCACTTAGAGGTGTGAACTTTTTGAATGCAAGATTTTCATTGGTTAGAAAATAATTTCACAGTGGCTCTCAAAAACCTTTTTCGCAAATTTACAGTAGTGGGTAAAGGAGTTATTTTCTAAATGGTCCAAAAATAACACATGGTAGGTCTACAATGTCTGCAATTCCAATTCAGAGCCATTATCCATTACATTACCCACGCATTCAAGCTTATAGCACCTGACATTCCCAAACGGTTACCCATTTAGGTACTGATCAGGTTCAATGTTGCTTAACCTCGGTGATCATACATGAACTGATGTTTTCAGTGTGATATGGCCATAAGCCGACTCCAACATGTCATTTACCCACCATAGAGAAACATTCCTTCCCCTTAACAGCATGGTTGATGCTCAATTCCGCAAGAGCACCTCACTGTGCCTTCTTGGTTTCACATACCACTGACCTGAGGTGTAAAGAATATATTGAATCAATTGTTGCATCTACTGCAAGGAAAGTTGGTTCTCTGTGTTGCACCAGAAGGTTTTTCTTGTCCGAGTCTATCCTTTACATCTACATCAAATCGACCATTTGTCCATGCATTATTAACATATATGGTCTCGTTCCCCAGCAGTTCGTCTTGAGGTTCTTGATAAAATCCAAAGACAGATATGCAATGTGATCGGTCCTGACTTGCAATCTGGATTCCAGTCACTTTCTTACCGATGTAATGTGGCTTCCCTCTGTCTTTTCTATAAATTTTTTCATGGCATCTGCTCTGAGGAGCTATTTTCACTGGTGTCCCGACTGCATGAATTTAAGCATACTACTAGGTTGACCTCTCAGTCCCACCCTTTTACTGACAAAACAGTTAAATGTGACCGCCTCTTCTACACCAACAGCTTCTTCTCTCGCACTTCCCCACAGTGGAAGTCCATTCCGCTTACTTGCTTCCCTGTTAACTATAATTTTCAAAAATTTAAATGTAATGCCAATCAACATCTTCTGTTGACTTGATCAACGTTCTTCTTTTTATCCTCCTCCGTTCTTCTTTATATCCCTTCCTCATCTTACCTATACCCAGACTTTTCCCTTATGCTATCTGAAGCCTCTTGCCTACCAGTGGCATTCCTGCCTTACTTGGGGTGAATTGCTTAAAAAAAAAAAAAAAAAAAAAAAAAAAAAAGATATATATATAAAAAATAAAAAAATAAATACAGAATAGAATACAAATGCAAAAATAAACTAAAGGACCACTTAAAAATAACCAAAGAAATAACCAAAAATGTTACCGACAATAACCGATACAGACAGTTTCTCCATGCTCTTCATTCTTAAAAAGAAAAGCTAAAAAGACAATAGACTGACTGAATAAGAAATGTTTTAAGCATTCCATGCTCGTCATATTCATCAATGAAACATGGATAAAAGAACAGCTGCCCAATATATAATTTGTTGGTTTGGTTGAGAAGTTTTCTACAGCTTCTCAACCTCTTGCAGGTTATTTAAAGTCAGAAAATATTTTTATATTGTAAGAATTGTTTTTTACCTTATGTGATCATAATGCTTTAAAGAAACCCAATGAGAATTGGAAATTGGCTCTCTGATTAACACAACTTTGAGCACAATACTTAACAACTTATCCAAAAATTGGTAAAATACAATAAAAAAAAAAAAATGAAACAAGCAGACACTGTCGGTTCTTTTTAATCAAACTGGTCTTGATGTGTGTGTATATATATATATATATATATATATATATATATATATATATATATATATATATATATATATATATAACCATGTGTGTGTGTGTGTGTGTATATATATATATATATGTGTGTGTGTGTGTGTGTGTGTGTATATATATATATATATATATATGTGTGTGTGTGTGTATATAAAGAGAGAGAGAGAGAGAGAAAGAGAGAAGAGAAGGAAGGAGAGAAATTAGGTAAATTAATGACAAAGTAGCAATATGTGTGTGTGTGCGTGTGTAATGCATTTAATTGGACAAAAGTGACATTTCCTTTGATGTAACTACATATGCACACACACACAAAAAAAAAAAAAAAAAAAAAAAAAAAAAAAAAAAAAAAAAAAATTTAAATTTTAAACTTTTTAGATTTCAGCATTCCTTCCCCCTTCATGCAAATGTATATTTACATCAATGGAAACATTATGTTAAATCCAGCACACACACATGCACAAATTTTCATTTTGTAATTAATTTTCCTGACATTATTCTGGTATAAAAAAAATTACATATACACATACATACATGTGTGTGTGTGTGTGTGTGTGTATGTATATATATATATATATATATATATATATTAGAGAGAGAGAGAGAGAGAGAGAGAGGAAATAGAAAATAGATAGACAGAAAGAGATTATATATATATATATATATATATATATATATATATGAGAGAGAGATTGCAATGACATTTTGAGAAGAACTATCAGTATTTAAAGAATTGTTTCGAACATTAATATACTTGCTTTGAATGACAGCGCTTGGAGAGAAAAATTCTTCAATGTGAATTCTTCATGTATGAAAAGTTGAGTGGATGAAATATTCTGCTGACAACAAAATGAAAGCAAAATCTCGTGCTGAAATCATAGAACATTCACTTTGCAAAGTCTCTAGAACATAAGCATCAGAATATTTTTTTGATGGAGGGGGAGGAATTTGTCTGGAACACTCTTGCTATGTAGTGCAACAATTTAGATCTTTTTTTATTGTAGAGATTATATACATACTATTAATATTGGGCTTAATTGTAACAATTGTGTTAATTGATGATGTCTTATGACGCACAATTGTTTTCACTCGCCTTATTACTGTGAATAAGTGCAGGTGGCCTAATGGTTAATTGCATGGAAAATGGAATTGGCAAGCTACATTCCTCTGCCTCTACCAATTATGGGTGAAATACCATGGCAGACTGGGATCTTTGGCCATAGTAAGACAAACCGGTTGAAGAAATTTAAATCTAGTTGTGTTTGCAGCAGTCAACTATATTCTCTAAAAAGAAAAAAAAGGTAAATGTTTTCAGCTGAAATGATTGCAGCCTAAGATTTTGTAAGGCGCCTTCCAGAAGATTTAAATAAAATAAAAATACTACTTCTGTTACTTATAAGTCGGTAAATCTCCACAGATTCGCTAAAAATGAGCATACCAAGAAGAAAGATATGTCTCAGACTTAATAAAAACAAAGTTTTATAATCAAAATGTTATTCTTAAGAGGAAAGACTAAAAGGATCTTTCGCTTATTAAATTATATATTCCCGGGCCCTTTTTAAACTAGTTTTAAATTTTGGTTGAAAAATCTTGTTTTTCTTTGAAAAAAAAAAAAAAATGGAGGAAACCAAACATCAGTGTATGAAATTTTAGTAGTTTTTTTTTTTTGTGGTGAAAATACATTGGATTTGGAAATTCTTGCAAGAAATCAAAAAAAATTGTTCAATTTTGATGAAACTTTCAGGACTTAATCACAAATGGAATTATTTTAGAAATATATATTTTTTCTTGGTAAAAACTTTTTTTTTTTAAACATCCATTACCCGTGACTTATTTGATTTTATGAAAATTAGAAAAATTAATTTTTCTACCGCTTAATGACCATATTAGTTATACACAGAACTCCTTCGAGAGTAAAACCATTTTTTTCCCTAAAATAGGATCTCTGAAAATCTGCCATGAATTGTAAAATAAAAAAAATGTAATAAAAATAAGACATTATTTAATTAGAAAAGGTTTTAATTGCTTTTACGAATAACATATATTATGGAAACCACTGTCTTAAGAAAAAAAAATTGTTTTTCAATGAATAATGAATTTTTACAAGAACCGTTTTCATTTTTTAAAAATTTTAATTAGAATAATTTATTATAAATCATTCTAATTAAAATTTAAAAAAAAAAAAAAAAAAAAAAAATGAAAACAGTTCCTGTAAAAATTCATTATTCATTGAAAATATATTTTTTTTTTTTTTTATGGGTAGCTACCTCCACAATTTTATTATTTAAATCTTAAATTTCTATATTAATTTGTACTGGGTAGGTGATATTGTTATTAACTAGAAACTATATTTACTAATACTAAATGGAAAAGCTTACTATGATTCACTGAGCGCCAATATTTAAGAAAAAATTTTGAATTTCTTTTTGTAAACTTTTGCAAATTTTTGTAAATATGGATGTCCATACACGACATTGTGATTTTCCAAGCGTAGCTCGGATGTGGCACAAGGATCGAACTCACTACTCAGTCGTGATTGTTCTAGCGAGAAAGACTGCGAACCATTACACCACCTAAAGGTGCCCTTTTCCAAGCGTAGCTCGGATGTGGGACAAGGCCGAAAGTATGGGGCACTCAGTGAGGATCAAACTCACTACTCAGTCGTAATTGTTCTATTGAGAAAAGCTTGCTAACCATTACACCACCTCGAGGTGCCCATGTCCATACACGACATTATCAGAAAATACCAGTGATAACTATAGTAAATTTGAATCTAAAGTACCTGAAATTCAATAAAACATTAGATTATACAGAATATTTTCCTAAAAATTTAAGATTACTTGGTAGTTAAAATTTATATAAAAAGGCATATATAAAAGTTATATTCCTCAAATAATCTTTACAGATATGTCAAATGTCAAAAAATATTAGATAAACTGTTTGTCAGTCAAGCTGTCAACACCTTAAATCAACACCTGCTCCCTGTTAAAAATGCATTTCTGTGATATTTCAAACTTAAAGTTACATGTATTTCAAATCAGATTAATAAAACTTTAAATCAGCCGATATTCATAAAATAAAGTTTCAGAAAAATATATTTTATTTTTGAAAGATTTTTTAATAAAGAGAATTATACAGATTGACAGATGGCTAAAAATGGCACTAAAATCAGCGAATTCAAAACAAAAAAACTTCTTTTCCAATCAATTTAAATTAGTTTTGAAAAAGAGCAAAGTGTTTTGCTTATTGGAAATATTAAATTAAATTTAATAACTTGAAATTAAAACTGAAATAAAATCTTCAAGAAAGATTTATTATTTTTAAAAACTCATTTTAAACTTTAGGTATCACGTTTCTCCCATAAGTCTACCATTTGTCTATGCATTGTATATTGTTGTCACATCTGGTTTGATGCTTCTGCTATGGAAGTGGAAAAATTATATTGAATTAAATGAAAGGTCTGCTGCTAAGAAAGTTGGTTCCATGAGTCATGCTAAACAATTTTTCATGCCAGAATTTATCTTACACTAGCAGCATGGCCCGGCGTTGCCCGTGTTTCGATTCAAAAAATCGTATGACTCATACAGCAATCACTATC